CATCTACGTCTGCCCGCTAACGGCCGGAGTCGACGTAAGAAGCGCTGTCAGGGAGGCCCGTGTCTACGCGCACTTCACCGCTGCAAATAGCATCGGCGTGGTAATAATTCACAAAGCGTCCGCTATCTGAGGAAGCCATCTTGCACACTCCTCCATTGATAACATCTTCAGTAAACGGGCGGCCACCGTCCACGCAGCATGCGTGAAGAACAGTCTTCGGTTACGACTGCGTTATCAAGATGGCGTTATCAAACGTCCGTGCTTGCTCCCGCGACACAGTAGTATCACCATTGGGCTTTCTGCCGTTCTTCCATGAACAGCAAAAATGAAGCTGCGATTCACTCGTATCCCTGATGTACTTGCGCGTCTCGCTACGCCAGGCGGTGCGAAAAAGTTCAGATCGCAGCATCATTTTCTGCCGTTCTTCAGTGAATGGCGAAAACGATGCTGCGATCTGAACTTTTTTGCACCCCCAGGCGTACGAGATGCGCAAGCACGTCAGGGATACGAGTCAAGGCACCTTTGCAAGGGCGATACCTTTTCAAAATGGTGGCGGACACTGCCAGCGAATTTTCCTGGCCAATCGGAAAGTGCCATTTTGGTCACGTGTGTCAAGCAACCAATAGAATAACGCGCTGCGCAATTTTGACTATGTTTTCTTTTTTCTTTTGCGAGGAGAACATAGTTGTCTACTGGAAAAGAAAGAAAGCTAGAAGTGCGACCTTTACAACAAGACCAAAATGGCGCTGGTGGAGTGTAGTTCACGTGCCATCGGCGGTTGAAGTACGGCTAGTTTACACTTCAATTTAAAAGTCAGCTTTCGCGAAGTTGCTCTCTTTATGGGTTGTAACTTAAAAATTAAGTGAAATTTCGAAGCTAAGCTCTGCTGATAAATGCAGAAGGGCATTGGGAACGCAAAAATGATGAGAGAGAAAATGCAATTTTTGGGCCGATTTTCAACTTCTAGGTGCCGCGACCCCCCTTAAGGGGGGACATGGTTCTTAGGGCTCTCTCATTTATTTTTGAACCAAGTGTGACAAAAGTTGGCATGCCTACTTAGTTTGTTCTCCGGATTCTAAAAATGTAGTTATCTTTTCTGTAGCTTCATTAGTTAATTAAATAATCAAGATAACATGTTCTATTGTTTTTACCATAATAGAAAAATAACCACCTGTCAAAAATGTATAAATAACATAGGGATTGACAGTAGAAAGCATAAGACATGCAACATAAGAAGCACTTTTTTGAATGGGTCATTATTTCTTACTTTACAGTACACTAAACTTCACAGCCCTGAATGTGGCCATTGTGTGGTCACACAAAAGACTGGTTTGAAAAACTTGCATCAAGAGAAATCAAAATCTGCTTCCTATGTTGTGTGCTCCAAACATATAGTTTCATGCTGCAAAATAAAATATTCTGCTATCTGTAATAGTATCAGATATTTGCAGTAATTTTCATGCAGGGTGTACTAAATTGCCATTATGAGAAAATGAAAACAAAGAATTCTAACATTTTCAACTGTAGAAATGTATGCACTTATAATTACATAGTCACTGACATATAAATGAATACTAGAAAGCCTAAGGAGTGCAATGCTGCAAGCTGATCGAAAATTGAACGAGTACTTCTCGAATTGCAGCACAGTAAAGTTCATTGCATGTAACCAAATACAGAAATTTTTATATTAAAATAAAAAAATGAAGCTGCCCATTAAAAATAGGCTCCCAGCATTGTTTTTTGTGCACATTTAGCTACATTGTGCAAAAACAATTACAGCTCTAGCTGTCCTAGGTCCACTTTTACCGAACAAGCAAAAGAAAGTGGTCAAAATCTGTGCTTCGAGAATAATGCTGTTAAAACTTAATTTCGCCGTTCCGAGAGAAAAATATCATGGCACACATACTTTTAGTCAGTTAATATGCACCGGGAATGTAATAGGACCAATTGTTCGTATGAGCGTGTCGTTTCTTCTAGTCCTGTAGCAAGTTGTCGCCGTGTGCTCGTCTGCCGCGAGGCCGCTTAGCAGTTCGGTGACTGTACTGACGGCGATGTGCGACAAATGTGCGTGCGTCATCCACAATCCGTCGAATAATGCGGCGATGTTTTCAGTCTTGTCCAGAATAAGTTACCCCTAAGTGTCGCGAACCAAAGTTGCTCCCTCGCTCATCAATTTCGAGGCTACACGAGTGCCGAGGTGTTAGTTTGCTTTTCACGTAAGACTGCAGCATTTTCGAGCGGAGATCACGACAACGTTGCGAACACGTCGTTAAAAGCAGTCTACCTGTTGCCAGTAGCCTCCATTGCGAGGGCCGCGAGCATGTTCACTGCGAACGGATTGACTTTCTGTTGTTGGTCGACGCGCGGCGTACTCCACTCTGACGACTCATCGCACAGTTCAAGGTTCTTTCGTCAGGCGGGGGAAACCACAACCACAACATCGGCGGGTTTAGCGATAAGACTGCACTTCTGTTCCGTCGCTACAAAGATTGATATCTCTGCTAGCTTCACTTCTGCTTTTTACTTGCCGTCCTCTAACTGATGAGGCTTCAAAACACAGCCGTTCTCAGTAACGTTGTCGGCAACCAACGGGCTCGTACGTGAGTTAGGCCTACACCAGTGACTCGGCGACCGCCATTGACCGTGTCGAGTTCGTTATCCTCGTTCTCCTGAGCCATAGCGGGGATCTTTCTGAAGTTCACAGCGAACGAACCACCGCCACACCCGCTTCACAAATTACTGTAGCACGGAACTTCTTTACTGCCGCAAGCAGTCAGTAGAACTATGACAAAATGGCACATGTCCGTGCGCGTCACGATGGTGAAGCAGACGCCGAAAGCGCCCCTTGGCAATCGGATGCCTAAATTTGGTCACGTGCCCCAAGCAGCCAATTGAATCGCGCGCTAGTGCTTCTCGATGACGCGTTTTTGCTAAAAAACCAATGAGCAAGGTGAGCCAGCGGTGGTGGGAAATTGAAGATGAAGAACGACCCTTCCAAACAAGACCAAGATGAACACGATAGCTCGTGCGTAACGGCAACAGTTTGGCGCGGAAAAAGCGCAATTTTAGCGTCAATTTGCGCTCACATTCATCTCACAGGGATGTTATAAATTGATTTTGCACCAGAAATAATGTCGCGAGAAGCTAGAAACTTCTTAGATAAGTGCAAAAATAGGCACAGATTTCAAAGATGTCAGCTTCAAAAACTCGTTTTTTTTGCGATTTTTGGCCTTCTAAGACCCGTGTCCCCCCTTAACACACTACGGTCAGTTTTTTTTTATAGACTATTTGATAGACTCGTTTAGTTAGTTATGTCCATTTACTGGTCACATTTACTTCATTTCAACGAGGTTTGAAATGCATGTTTCTCAATGGAGCTTTCAAGGGGAATTTCATTTACTTAATTATATCCATTATTTCATTATATCCTGTTACGTTATAACAAGTTTGAGTGTAGTACAAAGAAACAAACCGCAGAATACCGACGTGTTGATATTGTGCCTCAGATGTGCGCAATGTTTGCTTTTTATTCGACAATCGCACAAGTATGAACTCTGAAACGTGCAATTTTGGTGGGCACTGTGGGTGCGGCCGTACTTGAGCCGTTTCGCTTGACAAACAGACAAACGGACAGACAAACAGGCGGACAAAAATTTTTGCATTGAAGTATCCCAAGAAAAACTATTGTCTTAAAAAGACAGCGTAGGACGGCGGCGCACAAATGTTTCGGCAGATGTTGTGGGTGCACAACGCGACATTGGCGCGGTGAGCGTGGTAGCGCTTTGCATGGCCTTCGAGATAGGGGTCGCTCAGCGTGTTTCTACGCCGCACACCTAGCATTTCGGAGGCTATGCAGTTTGCTTTTTGCTTTGTTTTTGTGCGGCCATGTTTGCGAGGCATGATCAGCGAAGAGGTTTCTCCTGAATTCGACAGATGGGGCTTTGCTGCGAAGGGCATGACTTTCACATTTTAATTGACATTGTTTGCGCTCGCACTGCTCGCAACTGTTCAGCATGGAAGTGTGGCAGCTTTGGCTAGTTGGTATGGCATGACGATAGTTATAGCGCTCGTGTCCTTGTCTCTGTCGTCGTTTTGTTCTCGCGCTTTAACCATCGTCTTGTTTAGCATGGTTGCAAAATTATGTTTTGACATTTACTGTGTTGTTATTTTGTGATATACGGGCGAACCCCTTCATAAGAAACACAGATATAAGAGACAAGTGGGTATAAGAGACACCACTGTGCGTACGGCAAAGTATGGGTTGATAAGAAAATCCATACGAGGTACCCTACTCATAAGAGACATCTCGTAAAAAAGACATGAATTGCTGCCCGGAGACTGCCTATTATAAAGGAGTTTAACTGTAACGGCTTGATGGCACTGGCTACCATACCAAAATAAAACGAACAGATACATTAAAAAAGTATTTTTCTTTTTTTCAAGGACCAAGGTGAGGGTTAGGTTCATTATGCGAGTGGGTTCATTACCCCAGTAAATACTCTATGCGGGCTCTCTGTAATGATAGTGGCATATACGAAGCTGGGCACTGTTTGCGCAGTCACTGAGTAACCTATCCGTATTTTGAAGTGTTCGCTATTTATTTTGCAAGTGTCATGGAGACGTAAGGGCGATAAAATTCGATATGTTATTCTGAAATATTTGGTACTCTGAATCTAAAATTCATAGTAGTGAAATATTTTTTTTATTTAACCAATGCACATTTGAAGGAATATTTATCAACCAGAAAAAAATTGTTAATCTGGGTTGCGATAACGAGATTCAAATGTATTTTTTAACTACAGTAAACGCCCATTAAACGAAACTCTCTTAAACTAAATTGCTGCTTAAATGAAACTGCCACTAATATGGTTGGTTTCCTACTTGAATATTGTACCCATGTTTACCTCTCAGTAAACGAAACTTCTCTTAAAGGAAACACATTTTCCTGGTCCCTTCAGGTTTTATTTAAATGAATTCTACTGAATTTCACCAAGACTCACCAATGGCCTTGACTGCCCTGTGGCCCAGCTTTTGCGTTGGCATGGCCAAGCGCAGCTCGCGCAACGAGTCCCCACAGCGGATTAGGATGGCCCGCAGGATCTTGACAGTCAAGGCTGGCGAAGAAGAATAAACGAAGTTATGTCTATCATCAATGACACTCGCCTAAATAAAGTGAAACGAGTTTGAAAAGCACTAACACTGTCCACAGTTTATGAACCAAGGACCCGAAAAAGGGTCGCATCTTTCTACAGCCTAAAAAAGGAAAACCACAAGCTGGTTTTGTATACTAAAACCGTAGCTTCATACGACACTATTCGTTAAGATGGCGTTGTACAATATAGGACAGCCGGACACACAGAAGCAGCCTCAGTGAACTATCTCAAATCACAACACTTTTTAAATTACCACTACTCAGAGATTTGAGAGCAAGGTCTAATTATATCTTGGCGTATCAGTATACTAAACTGCATTTCATGGTTCTCTTTGAGCTTGACGTAATCTGGTTTTGTAATAATTACTGCAATCATTAGTATATCCAGACAACATATTGCTTTATGCTGGTTAAGAAACGTGACATTTTCTTTGATTTTGAGCTCACTAAGTTTTCCACTTGTACCAACCTACGTTAAGCCTAATATAGTAGTCTGTAGTGATTTGAAATGTGATGAGGCTAAATTCATCACGTGCGATATCCTTTATTCTTGATATTACAATTAAGAGATAATTACATACACTGAAAATTTCAGTTAATATGTTCACTGCCATTTGATCCGTACTCGAACGTTTGAGCCACAATTTTTCTATAACATTGGAAAGAGAGGTCACAATGCTGCCACTTAGCAAGTATTTTCACAAATTTTTGTCTCTTTTCCAATGATAAAAAAATTAAGCCTCAGATGTACGAGTACGGATCAAATGGCAGTGTACATATCAATTGAAATTTTCAGAGTAATTTCCTCTTAACTGTAACATCAAGAGTAAAGGCTTGGAAGAGCTCTCCTCCAACTCTTCTGGCAACTATGCAAGTTGCAACATACTTCTGCAGAAGTTATGAGAGAAAACTACCACAAATGAAATCAGACATCAGTACGACATTTGAAACAACGAAACAAAGCATGAGCACAATGCCACGCAAAAGAATATTCTGGTAAGAAAAACACTCCAAATACGGCATTAGGAGTCTTGTATGTTTTAACATGATCAGATTTATACATTGCAATTTAATGCGGCATACTTAAAAAAGTTAAGGACACCGGTAAACTCGCTTTTTGAATTACATGCAAATCTTCAGTGACACATCTAACTCTGCTGGTGGTAAGAATCGAGCTGACATGTTAGAAAGGCAACTGCTTGTGTATAAGACGAAATATATTGGAAAGCTACCATTAGAAACCGGAAAATATGTGGGTATCCTTACAGTGCTTCTAGCTACTTCGATTAAAAAAACAATATATAACACACATGCATGAATGGTTTCAGAAGGAGACTATTCTATCGTTTCTAATCTCTCGACTCTCAAGTACCGATCATTTTCGAACTTATTGAGGATCAGATGCCAAACAACAGCTGTCCATTCATGACGTTAAAGGAGTGGTACGAGCAGCAAATTTATATTCGTAGGTAATGTTCTTTTAGGCTGAACTGCAATGAAACTTCACTCAACTAAATTTGTCAAGAACTGTTTAATAATAGAGGGGAAACAAAAACGTGGCTGTTCGAATGTATTGATGATGATGATATGTGGGGTTTAACGTCCCAAAGCCGCCATATCATTATAAGAGACGCCATTGTGGAGGGCTCCAGAAATTTCGACCACCTGGGGTTTTTTAACATTTGCCCACATCTGAACACATAGGCCCACAGCATTTTTGCCTCCATCAAAGATGCAGCTGCCGCAGCCGGGTTTCGATCCCGCAACCTACGGGTCAGCAGCCGAATACATTAGCCACTAGACCGCCATGGCGTGGGGCTGTTCGAATGTAAGAAAAACAAATAAAGAATTAATGAACGGATCCTCACGCTTTCCCAGGCCGTCTGAGAAGGTGTTTGTAAAAGAGAGTTTGCACTGAGCTCTCCAGAGTCGTTTTGAAAGTTCTTTCCACCGATGACACACTGCAAAAAGAAAAAAAAAAAGAGAGGGGGGGGGGGGGCAGGGGACGAAATGACTCATTTTTTGAAGAGCATGCAATCAAGTTTAGTCAGACCTCTAAACACACCGTACTCTGCTCAAGTCGAGACACACAAAATGTCAAAGGTCTCATAGCGATGCCCCTTCAAAAAAAAAAAAAAAAAAAAAGCAGCTTGGCATACAGACATTCCAATCTACAGTAGACTCGGTCAGTGAAAACCACACCTCTTTCAACGATGACCCGCGTCTTGATGTCGAGCCGGCCGAGAATCAGGAGCAGGACGTCATCTGGAAGGTCCTCCACATAGCTTGGCAATTCAAGTGCCATCGCTGCACTCGCACCTGCAGTCGCACCACTCTCCTCTCCACCCGGTTCGCCCTGTGGCTGAATTTGGAAAGAGACACGATGATGATGATTAGTGTGGTTTTGTGGCACAAGGGCCATATGTGGCCCTTGGGCCACGAAAAAAACACAAGAAATAATAATAACAATAACAATAATAATAATAATAATAATAATAATAATAATAATAATAATATGGGGTTTTATGTCCTAAAACCACGACACAATTATGAGGGACGTCATAGTGGAGAAATATGATCATCTGGTGTTTTTTTAATGTGCACTAACATCAGTTAGTACACAAGACTAGCATTTCGCCTCAGCAAAAATACGATTAGCCCAGTTCACATCAAACCCGGAACTTTCGTCTAACTGGCCGAGCGCCGCCACCACTGTGCCACCGAGGCAGACGGTTTACGCAAGCAGAGGCCTGCTTTCAGTTCTGGCCCAACACCTAGTCCACAGCGAGATAGCTGCAAATCATTCATACATTACACACCAACATCACAGGTGCCGTAGAGAACTTGCTTGCGCCTCATGCTGCAGCATTTGACAACCTGAAATGTAAGGTCTTGCGGTGCCTCATACTCACCCCGCACACAATCTTTGATAAAAAGACCATTTGGGAAGTAATTGTTCGTTACATGGTGCATTTCAATCAAGTCAGGTATGTTACATCAAGGTTCGACTACATCGCTCACGCTCGAGCAGAGGTTCAATGAATAATAATAATATTATCTGGCGTTTTATGTGCCGAAACCACGATAAGATTATGAGAGATGCCTTAGTGGAGGGCTCCGGAAATTCCGACCATTTGATGTTCTTGAATGGGCACTGATAACGATATCAGTGCCCATTCATACAGTACACGGGCTTCCACCATTTTGCCCCCATCAAAATGCGACTGCCGAGACAGGGTTCAAACCCGCGACCTTTGGGTCAGCAACCCAGCACCTTGGCCACTGATCAACCATGAGGGGCCAGAGGTGCATTCCCAAGTGTTTCCAAGATATATACGACGCGCCTTAAACATCAATGTTTCATCAATTAGCACCACTGCCACTGATGCACTACAAGTGACATAAACATTTTTTTTTATAGAAGCCACCAAAGAGGTTATACTTTGAGTGCACATACCTGCTCAGCATTGGGTGCTTTAACATCGCATGTAGCCATTGTCAAACTTTTCAGCAAGGTAGCTTGTAGAAGCTTTCAGGAATGACGTTCAGTGTCTGTGGTCTTGGTTTGTGGCTCTGCTAAATCTGGAGGAAGAAATAACAGGTAAATAGATTACTAAATGAGCAAGTAAGCCATGACTGAACCTTCTACATCCAAGCAATGACTCACTTTTGTTATATTATCATTGCTTTCCCAGCTGTCAGATAAAAACAAAAAGGTTCATGGGAAGTATACCTCACTGTGGACGCTCCTCATATAACCATTGCAAAAGCTTCAACTATAGGAAGTATGCACTGATACAATCGAGAATGCCATTGCTTTTCAATAAGCAATACAGTCAGCACAGTGAGAAGTTCTATTTAACATTGACATGTTTATCCACAAATGTGCAGTCGAAGCTGCACATAGTACAACAAAAAGATCGTGCACACTCGCGCTGTGTGAATACTGCTCGTACAAGACCCGAGGAAGTGAAATTTCATTGCACCAATTGAGTCACTACAAAAAAAAAAAATACAACAACACCAGTTACCCGATTGCTCACCTACATTTCAGGCTGCTATTTCAAGCATGGTAATGCGAGCACTTAATGATTTCATAAATTATAAGGCTTGAAATTCCTCTCATGCGTGAAAGAAGTTCCAGCCTTTGCTTCTATAACTCGTAGCATTTGTCCTTATCAGTTACATAGGAAAAATAAATTCATAATTACATTGATATAATCACCACAGGTGCGTCTGCCAATTTATTGCCATCACTTCTAAAATGCACCTATCTATGCATATTAAGCGTTTCAAATGAGACCTATGAAGAACCGTCTCTAAATGTCTTGGTTATACAACATTATTGCCACAATACATTGATTTGTGGTTTTTATAATAGTTATAAATAAACTAAATGTAATGAAATGTTTACTATTCCCAAGGACATTCAAATTCAGTTTATGCATAAATAGATTTAAATGCGAGTCTAGTTTTTATAATAGTTATAAATAAACTAATTGTAATGAAATGTTTACTATTCCCAAGGACATTCAAATTCAGTTTATGCATAAATAGATTTAAATGCGAGTCTAGAAATACAGTGCAAATTTGTTTTCCTTCATGTTTATTTCAAGGAAAGAAATATTGCACTTCAGCTGTCGCTAGCGGAGACCCGTCAGACAACTCTTCGGATATGATAATGGCTTCAGAAAGTTATGATATGCAACTGTATACTGCCCAATGAAATTGGTTGAAGACAATTTATTACACACGAGGTTCAATTCATCGAAACCTCCATGCATAAGGGTCTTTCCTAGCCACTAGTCAACAAAAGTTGCAAAAACAGATGACGGAAACAATTCTGTGCAAGGCATCTCAAAGGGTTAACACATAACCTGCGGGAGCATTTTTTTTTTTTTCCCCAAGATTTCCATACATGATGAGCCACCAATAGATTACACAGGACTGAAACTGGTTCTTTGAAGTCTATCTTGCTACAAGCAAAGCCATTGTGAGGGCATTTAATTATTCTGGACAGGAACTTCCTGTACACAAGCATATTTCGCATTTTGCCGTAATAGAAATATGGCAACTATGATCAGGAATCGAATCAATAATGCACAACACCATAACACTACACTAAGTTGATGCACAATGGTGCTGATAATTACGGGAAGCTTCATACAAGTCTCAAAACACACAGAGAATTGGCACAGCAATCGACAAAGCTGGGGTCAAGCAGATACGAATCAACTTGGTGGCCATAATCTCAAATCCACATGTTTGCAGCATGTGCAGTCTTTTACGTAGTCTTTATAGCTGGCCTTGAAATGTACTGAAGGTGTGGTTCATCCCCTCCAGTCTCGCACAGAAAAATTATTCGTAATATTACAGTGGCACTGCAGGTGCAGTAACAATTAGCAGGTTTTTACGAGTAAAAACCACAACGTGATAATGAGGCACGCCGCAGTGGGGAAACTGCAGATTAATTTATACCAACTGGACTTTCTTAATGCGAGCATAAATCTAAGCGCACGATTTCCTTTGCATTTTGCTCCCATTTAAATGCGACCACCGTCGCCGCGAATCGAGCCCACGCACCCAGCTTAGCGACAACTTACGCTCTAAGCCACCCGAGCAAAGCTGAATACAGGTGTAGTACACCGGCTTCAATCCACAGAAAAGCAATGTCATCAGTGATGCCACTGTAGAAAACCTTTTGCCGACAAGGTCTTCACACCACAGCACAAAGGCGGTGAACGAGTCGGCGCGAATACCGGTGTTAAAGACAGCAGCAAAGCCAAAGTTTCCAATGCACGTCGGGACGCAAGGTGGCTTATAAGTATTCGACGCCGTGTTAAAACCTGGGAGGCGGTTAGCGTCTCGGTACGTTGACAAACTCGAACATTCACCGAACTACCGCGTCGACGCTCAGTTTACGAGGAATAATTTAGAAAAAAAACGTACGCGTCTGACGTTAAGGGTCGATCCTCTCGGCTCTCACACACAAAACGAATTCGTCATTCGAAAGCCTTAACCTTCACTTTAAAGGCGGCCGCAGAGTAGTGCGTGTTAAGCTATCAGTTTGCAGCGTAGAGCGCGGCAGTGCTTGTTGACCCTTTCATTCACCATTTGTTGTGGCGGTTGCAGCGCAGTCCCTAAAACGCCGGGAACGTGGACGTTTTTCGGTTTTCCCCTTCTTCAAACATTTTTCGTGCACAGTTTCACACGTGTAGTTCTTAGGGGGCAGGGAAAATGCACCGCTGACCCGCAGGCGTCTGGTTCTTCAAACAACCTACAAAATAATTGTCCCACACACTAGCTGTGCAAAATTAGATTAGCCCTTTTTGGTACTGATACGTGAGTCACGAAGAGGACTGATGTAATACAAATACTTGAAGCGTACGCCGATATCGAAGCAGAGCTACTAAGAGCACGCAGTGTTAAGAAAATTTCGTCGCCCACAACTTACCTTCAGCCGATGTGGTTACCGGAAAACAGCGGTTGAAAATTAATGGTGCACAAAAGCTATTGCACGGCTCTCTGGTGACCGAATATGAGCATTATTAAAGCGTCACGTGCCTCGAAATGTCAAAGCACGGCGTGTGCTTCCAACTGTCACATGCGACGCGACGCTCGCTGAAAATGCAGGCCAAGTTCGCGATTGGTTCGCAAATGGTTCGCGCTACAAGCTGTGATTAGGTTGCCAGCACATCTGCGGAACTCGCTATTAATAGAGAAAAAAATTAACCCTCCCCCCCCCCTCACAAAAAAAAAAAAAGAATTGTGAACAAATGCGTATGCATTGTGTAGTACACAACGGCGTTTCGCACGTGAGAACCCAGCGTTAGAAAAATAGTATTTTTTTTTTCCGGCAACGTAGTTTACTAGATCTGATGGTAGCCCCAGAACACACAGCCTAGCGAGTAGGCGCAACAAAACCAAGAAGGTTATACTAAAAAATACTATGAAGTGAAGAAAATAAACAGCGCTCTCGGTTCGACGTTGGCGTTTCACAACATGGAGGAATGTTTCACGGCCGTGTCTCGAGCCCACATTTCCATATGTTCTTGAGATTGATTGATTGATTGATTGATTGATTGATTGATTAAAACTTTATTTTGGCCCCGAAAAGATGCAGGGGAGACCACGCGCCACCCGGCTAATTCCACGTAGGGACCGTCAAGCCGAGCTTGGCGGTCCGTTCACGGACACTCTCAACGGCCAGGGTTTGATCGTTAAGTTCGCGGCTGCTAAGAGCACAGCTGAGGGCAGAGCCAATGCCTTCACATTCCCACAACTATAGTGTACTAGATATTACTAGATATTGTCAAGACTTCAAAACAGGGGTCTTGCCGCAAAGATTGAGACACCAGAAGCAGGTCTTGTCTTGTCACCTGGGAGATCTTGGCTCATACGAGTCATACCCAGATGGGGGATTGGCCACACTGTACCTTATAATAGATAGATTTTTTATAACGCTTGCTAAAAAAAGAAAGAGAAATTAGATAAGAACAATAATAATGTGCCTTTGAAAAAACGTGAAAAAGTGCAGAAGATTCGATAAACCAGAATATATAAAACAAATTAACAAGAATGAGGAAGGGGGACTAAGAAAGGGATACATCTGGCAGTACCACTAGCAGCATATCCTTTTGGTTGCCCGAATGAATTTATGTAGCGCTGACAGAATATCACTGCGGCCCACACCCAACTAACTGGCTCCAAACGATAATAGGGTGGATGTATTGACTGACAATCCGAGCATACCAATCGGTCTTTCAAGAATTATTCGTCGCAGTGACATAGAGAAATAAAAAAGGTGAAGAGTGGACACTCCCGTAGACCCCAGCGGCCCAATCGACTCTAGCACACCTAGTGGTTGATGAGAGCAAGTGGCTTGCGCTTCCGGTTTCGGTTTCACTGGCGCAACTTTTGAATTACTTTGCATAACCGACGTTTGGCTATGTCGTAAGTTCATAATTTCAGACCACTATTCATCGCCCAAATGGATAGTTTTTGTAGGTCGTTTTGATTTAGCGATTCCCTGTTTTGTTTTGTTCAGTGGTTCGTGCGAATCGGTCGTGACGTAATTTTTATTTTGATTAAGTTATAAAAAAAAGAGATGCAGGTAATGATAATTCACTATCGTTTTATTCATCGCGCTTGTGTTTTTCTTTTGGAACAAGTGATCAATGTATATATCAGTCAAAGAAACAGAGCATCCGCAATGTTTTATTCAAAGGCAAGGTAGAGTATGAGAATATAAAAAGCACAATATGACAAAGGTAGACAACAAATGCATCTCGCCTTACAAATAAATTGTAACAAATATTGTAACAAATACATAGAGAACACAGACAACGCACACATCGCTAGAGTTGGCAGAAGCCGAGAAACTGGTGAAGTATGACACACCGGGCCAGTGGGTAACTAAGGATCTATGGCAAAAACATAGCGCACAATGCTGATGAAGAAGGAAGAAGTGACATATACACAGCAATGAAGTCGCGAATCACGCCTGGGCTTAACTGAAATAATGCATAGAAAAAAAGAGCGCACAGAACCACACGACACAATATAACAGAAAGGCAAAGGTGCAGTGTGCTGGCTGTGCTTAAGAACAGCTAGTCCAAAATGAAAAAAAAGCAGACTTGATGCCTGCTTGTCCTCAGAAAGGTAGGGCTTTGCAGCTTGCTCACTACGTGAAAGACAAAACTTTATGCTACAACACTGGCAGGTCTTGTGGCTTTTGTTATGCGTCGCCTTCATCAAAAACTTAAGATCCCAAGTGATTTGCGTTTGGGTGTTGCTGTGACGCTTGCGAGCTAAAATAGATTGTAGTCATCACTTTATCCAGAATTGTGGACTTTAATTGGTGCTACGAGAGCGGTATTACAGGGCTAATAAATAGCAGAAGGAAACCACTTTGGCTCATTATTTTTCACAAAGGCTCTACATCGTACGTTATCACTCACAAGCTATATAAAAATAAAATGGCAGCGTCTGCAGCCCCATCAAACACTACAAGTTTGGGTATTCTTTTGAAAATTTTGATGGGCAAGATGAGGAGGTTGATGAGAAGCTAAAATACGAAAAGCGTGATAACATGAACCGTGCCCACTTCATACTGTGTTCCTTACCCGCTCGAAGACATTTCAACAAGCGGTTTTGTTATCGATATATTACTTGAGCTGGAGAGATAAAGCATACACAGTGACCAAGCGACCCACAGTAAGTGTACAGTTCGCCCGTATTTGCTACAAAAAATACAGACAGGATGCCCAACATTCTTTTTAAGGTTATGCAAATCACTTCGAGCGAATACACAGTGTTTGTACTCCTCATAGCGGGTAACCAAAACAATGAATGCAACGAAGGAGTGGTTAGTCCAGTTGAACTGAATATAAGCATATAAGACCATAATGAAGTCTGCTGTAACGAAGTAATAACATAACAAAGCTATTGCAGGATTCGGCTCAACTCCAATACTTTAGTGTAAACCCGCCGCTAATTGCTAACCTTTGAACTTGTCAAGCTGCATGCCCGAGATTGAAGACTGGAACCTAACCCTGTCTAAGTTTCGGTTCACAAAACGCACATGCCAACATAAACGAACCCGGCAAAACATTTTCAGAAACTTAGCGCGACACCCAGCAGAGCAGAAATGAAAATCGCCAACACTTGACAGATGGTGATACAAAACATCGCACACTTTCAGGTGATGTGCAGTGGCCTCAATTATGGCAAGAAAGCGAGATTCAAGTTGTTGTACGTATGCAAAAGCTGCTTCTGATGGCACAGTGAGATTCCCAAAAAGTTTGCTGGGGACGTGGTATGCTTTGAGCATTGTGAAATACTGGTGGGTACCCTTAAGCGTCTCACTGTCGTCTTTCAGTAACTGTGGGCAACTGCAACCGTCACATGCATTCCGAAGGAAGTGTTTGATGAGAAAACCAGCTACATAATATGCAGCGGAGTCATCGATAATATGGGAGTGAATGTTTGTCGCAAGTTCAGAGAGATCGTCTAGAGCGGGAAAGTCGTCAGGCTGTGGCTGTGCACACTCCTCATTATCCACAAGAGACGCACTGGTGAGGGAGAATGGCGACAGCTGTTCCTGGAGGAGGTCACATTCATCATCCTCGACATTTCCGTATTCTGACAGCTTGAAGAGTTTTCTTATGCAGATGTGCTTCAGGCCACAAATAAATTGTGCTACATTGGGGTTGGTGTTGCAACCCTGTTTTTGCCTAATGTGGCCAAACATGTTCTCCAGAGGATCCTGTTGAAGCCTGCGTGTTAACAGGTATTCAAAATTGTAATTTTTGGAGAGGTCGTCCCATAGTTGACAAATTGCCTGAATTGTAATTTGCCAACCTACGATGGTTTGTGGTTGACGTCTGCCAACAAACTGCCATGATGCAATCCAGGGAAGCTGGCCTCGGAGGAAGTCAATCAGCTCTGAATCATTTTTCATGATTGCATGCCGCAGCTTTTGCGAAGTTCTTTTTTTACTCGAGCTGTTCAAGGCATCGAAAATCCTGTCCATACGATCACAAAATTGAGCTGTAGTGATGGCCGAGGCAGGCAGCACCTTCGCATACACCATTGCCGTGATAGCAATCGAAACTGATGCACTGAAGACCTGAGTTGCTCTGCTGACCTTCATATTAGAAAAAGGTTTCTGATGAACGTGCCGTTCAGTCAACTTTGGAGCCAATCGCAACCGCAACTCATGTGAGGATTGGTAAAGGCTTACAATGTGCGACCAGTTAACGATGTCATCCCCAATGTATAACTTGTGTGCTTGGACATTATTGCGCGTTGTTTTAATTAAATGCGGAACATCAAAAATGTAATATACCCGCTCACCATTAACTTCAAAAAAAAGGCTTTGCTACAGTCACTTTTAGTTGGTTAGCGAGACTTACATTTGAACTGCCCTGGTCACAAATGACTGCTTTCACTGCAATATTAATGCTCCTAAGCTCCAAAATGAGTGACACCAGCAAGTTATGCATAACAGATGATGGTGTTGATGTGTGCCCTATAGTAAAAGCAACCGGTTGAACCCACTTTCTCGAAACACCAACAAGAAGAAAAACCAGTGCTCGATCAGCGATGGTTGAAGTGCGATGAGTGCCATCATCTGTAAAACCCTGGACAACGTCTCTTGAAGCATCATAGTACAAATTCTTTTTGAGTGCTATTTCGTCGAAAACTAAAGCGCACACTCGGTCCCGTTCATTTCCAAGCTTGAGTATTTGTTGCAATGGAAGAAAGGATTCCTGGAATTATGCCTGGAGTCATCTTTACATTAGCTAGCCACCTCCTTAATGAACGCCGGGAGGGCAAAGAAAAATACGGAGCCAGAAATCGGTATGCTCGCGGACCTCGGAAGTTTAAGTGAAGAGCGAATTTCTTGAACCACACGGGAAACCGCTTGCCCTTGCATTGGGCCTCAAGCGAACATGTGCAGAAAGAAGTTTAAAAACCTCCTCGGTGACGTGCGGTCGGATAACTTCAAGGGCCTTCGTAGTCGATGACGGTGCTTGGTGAGGCTGTCTCTGCAGTCTTTTGATAGTTTTCCGCTGTGCTGCTACTTTGGCTTGCAGATGTTTAATGGTTTGCTTGTACTTCATTGATGGAGACAT